AGTCAAAGTAAAATTGAGTTAACGTCTTTAGGAACACGTTAACTACTTTCTGTTTTTGTCTGTCTGCAAAATTTGGAGCATATGTGCTGTACCAATATTAGCACGTCTTCACAGTCAACATCTAGAATGGATTCTTAAATATTCATTGACTGCAAATTTCAAATTGAAGTTTGAATTTGACATTCATTCTGTAAATGCAATAGGATCAGCTATTAATTAGAGAATAGAAAAAAAACCACTCAATTTATACAATCTACCCACAGAGGTCAAATTGTATACTTTTTAACATATAGTCTCAAATTTTTAAAGTATTAGCTGCTTAAGTAGATCATGTGATATGTCCCCTCCCTCTTCTAACTGGCTAATTTATGTAACTGAGCAACCAAACAAAAATTCTGAGATGTATGTTCACCTGTAATGCTCACAATTTACACTGTGTATTGAATCAAGTAATTACGTAACTCATACAATCAGGGAAGAGAAAAAATAACATGAGTTTAGGTAACCAGCTATGACTATAAATTTATAAATAATCTAAACAAAAACTCTAAGAATAAAGGTTTTTAAAATGTGTTATTCACCGAAGAATTCTGTACATAATCACTGCATAAATACTCTGCGTATTCTGAAGAAAAGAAAAACTCCAAAATGTAACTAAGGACTCGCTATGAATTGTTTGTTACATACTCGGTGATTCTTCTTTTTTATCTCTTTTTTTTCCCTTAAACTACCTTTACATAAATGGAAAATGAAATTCTATAATTACTGATGCCCTGTCTGGTGGATTAGTTAATTTTTAGGCAAGCTACAGGTTGTATCTAATGCAAATATTATGCAAAATAAATAAATGAATAAAGTTACTAAAACATGATAGACATCATTTTAACAAAACATTTCAACTCTGCTGAATGCTTATGTTCTGTCAGCTGTGTCTTTCTGTGTCTCTTTTCCAGCCCATATTTAAAGTACATACATACCTTCACCCAGGTGAGTAGTTCCCACTGAACAAAAGAGGAGCCACAGTTGCTAAGCACATTTCTTGCCTATGACTACTTGAGTTATCCCAAACATTTTGCACATCCCAAACCATGGCCTGCTTTTCCCAGCTCAATTTTTTTTATTTCTGAGGATTTTTCATTGTTGTTCAGTGTTCAGAAATCTTAATCTTTAGAGAAATTAACTAAGATAAAGAATGAAAAAAGAAAGAAGAGCAAGTACAAATTTAAATGAGCTCAAATGCCTTGTGCCTAAGCACAAAGTACGAAATACAAAGTATGGAAAAGCAGTCTCCTGGTAAAGATGAAAGATCCTGAGTTATGTAACTGGAAAACAGAGAACTGACACTTAGCAGCAGAAACAAGGTGGATAAATCTGGCTGGTCCACCTACAGTTTTCTTTCTGAAAGCACTAATAAAGTGGAGAGGGGTTATTTTTTAAGCAGCCCTTGGAGTGTTCCAGCTCACTACTGTCAGCTTCAGATCTCAAATGTAATTTGATTTATAATTACATTTTAAAAACTAGCATTAAAATAACATTAGAGGGGTCATAATCTGAACTTTTTAATAGTTAGGCACGTAGTGTAAATTTTGAAATGCATCTCCAACATGATTCATCTGGAACATATTCTGCCTGAAATTCTTTCTTCCAACCACTTAAGTACTCTGCTGAAAGTTGGTTTACCAAGCAGCTATCGTAGAACCCTGTGTTTCGATTTTGTTCTCAAATGCAGACCGATTGAAAGGTACTGCCAGACATTAGTCAGTCAAAGTCTATTATCGCATTATAGTCAGGTCCATGTCTGTAAACACTAATTGGTGAGTACATGCTCAGGAATCTAGGATTAGGCCTCTACATTTAACACAAGGTCATCAGGTTCCTTGTAAAACCAAACTGGCTCCATTGCTCCTGAATTCTAGTGTGGCTTTAATTTTTTTAGCCTTTGTGATAACAAATTGGCTTAGGAAAGTTGACTTACAGAAACTACTCAAATAGGTAAAATCATGCCTGTGCCAGCCAAAACACATGTATGATGAAAAAAACATTGGTCCCAACAACTGTTAATACATGGGTCAGCTGAGTCACAGACAACTAACTAGTGTACAATGAACTTTGCAGTATTGTGCCTGTAGCTGCAAGCCTGTCAACTCTTGAACACAAGGCAAGGCTCAGATGGACAGAGGCTTGCTGAAAAAACTGCCTTGTACTCTAGTCCGATCTTCTGATAAAAAAACTTCCCAACTAATCAGTTCCGCACTGGTGCCTAACTACAACTTTAGAGGCAAAAGACACATAAGCAATTCAGTTTCTGAACAACAGTGCTAAAGTAAATGATCTAGTAAAAAAAAATGGCTGTGCCTTAAAACCAAGTTTGAAATTTTACAGGCTCTTACTCCGTAATTTGTACTTGAGCCTTCTGTTATTTTTAAACAAATCTAATTTCTTACAGCTGTGAAATTTACATTTTAAGAGTGTCTAGTGGCCATGTGCATTAATTACTTTA